AAATTATGCAGACGTTTAAACATTAGTCTTTTCTCCAATAGGAGATACTATTTTACCAAGTAAATTTATGTGCAGGACTTAAAAAAACCAAGCTGCTCTTGGACATCAGCCCAAGTATCAGTATCACCTAAAAAAACATCAGACGTACTTCATCCTAAATCTCATCATTTGTTGAATTAGAAGTACAAGATTTTTCTTCACTTCACTGAACTCTTCCTTCCTTCCCTTGCAAAAAATATGCAGAGTAAAGCTGTGTACAACATACCCCGTGGTCCGGTCCTTCCTCGGACCCCGCGCATAGCAGTAGCTTAGTGCATCGGACTGCCACTTTTTTTTTTTTAAAACTGAACTCTTCCTTCCNCCTATCTCCATATTTCACCTTTGTAATCACAGCTGTACCATCTCGGATTTCTGTAACATGTGCTCCAACTTTAGCTCCATTAATTGTGTCTTCCTTGTTAGGCGAATCAGAAGATTGCTGGAATTTTGTACTAGCATTGACGTCTTCCTCAGCAGGGAGGATGGATTTCATTTTACGAGAGGGGGAGCATTTTCTTTTCTTCTCCTTATTCTTGGGCGGCCATCTAGTTATACCGTATAATCTACATATACGCTTCACCGTTGATTTGCCAACTGCATCAGAATAATCCCAGGTACAAAAATGTCTTCAGTGAATCTTTAACTACAATATACACATATGATTTGGACTAAAGGAAAGGAGAAGATAAAGAAATCATATCAATCATTCAATCGATCAACTACGTCTCAATACTAGCTAGTTAGAGACCGCAAGATGAATCCTCCGTATCCATTCACTCAGCTCCCGCTTTGGCCTTAAGTTTTTTGCAAAAAAAAAAAAAAAAAAAAAAAAATTGAAAACATTGTTTGGTTATAAAAAGTGACTAGTTTTTGGACGGTTTTTGGAGAAGAATTTTTCAAGTTTCAAAACGTGGTTTGAACTAGTTTTCTACTCACAAAACTTCAACTTCTTTTCCAGTAAAATGCATCACCAAACATAATTTCAACTTCCAAAAACCATTTTTCATCTCATCTTCAAAAGTTTTTTTTTTCCTAGTTTCAACCAAGTCTATGTCCGAACGCTAGCTCAATTTGGGTTCATTTCATTCCAATCACTGGTAAACAATTTACCTTTTAAGACAAATTTGGGATATTCTAATCTAGAATTTCTTTAGATCTTACACTTTACCTTAAAATGACATAGGAGCTTCTAATTAGATTAAAAGGACTCTTCGCAAACATGGTGTAATACTCGGACCCCTCGAGCATATCTTAATAGTGACTTGGAACATGTTGTGAACTTGACATTGTAATGAGTTGTATAGGTACTGAAGTAGAGACGGAGTGTTTCATTGGTGAGCCCCACTCATTGTTCTATGCTTAGATATGCTTTCCTTTTTTGTCCTCAGCAAGAACTAAGCTAGACAGTTGTAATGACTCTCTAGAATATGCTTCATGGAATCTATTACGGATTTGGGACTACATTAAGTGTTGGATCCTCAATTGTTATGTTTTAATTTGCTTATGTTAATCCTTGGTCCATACTAGCGTTACGAGACAGATTAATGGATGTGGATATACTGTGGGCGGGCAAGCTGACTCACGCTTAGAGTTTGGGTTGTGATACACTGGATCTTATATAAATATAATAACAATAACTAAACCTTAGTCCAAGTAGTTAGTATCATTTATATGGATCATTTGCTTCATGTGTACTAATCTTAAAGAAAGAAGAAAGATACAAGTAGAAGAGTTTTGGAAAGAGTTTATGATACCTCCCAAATCATCAGCAGCGGCATCTTCAGTCATTGACGAGCGGTCTTCAATTTTTTTGAGGTTGATGTTATGATCGCGTTCTATCCTCTCTCTTTCTTTCTGAATCTCTGACTCAGAGGTTAATGTCCGTTTACCATTTTTTCTTTTGTTCACAGCATTTGCTCCCTGCTTTGCCAGTCGTGTTGATAATTCCAGCTGCAGTTTTCTTTCTTTGTTTTGAGAGGTTTTAGCGCTAGTTGAAGATCCAGCGGAATTGCACTGTTCTTCACTTACAGCTATGCTATCCCTTTCAGCATTTATCTCATTAATATCCAAACTCAGTTGCTGATTTGTTTCGGAAGAAAGAGACTGCTGATTTGGTGTGTCAAGCAACATCAACTTTCCTCCATTTGGCAATGGCTCAACATTATGCAGTTCCTTAGTAGTTTGACAGATATTAAAAGAATCAAGTTCATCGTCAGAAGAAATCTTGATGCCTTCAACAGGTAACTTCTTTTCAAAATCATGTCCAACTGCAACCTTAAAGAAGTGCAACTGTTGTTTCACCGTGTCCAAAACCAACTTCAGGAAGTCTTGTAGATTCCTATGCAGAAGCTCATTTGGGGGCAAGAAGAACTCTAGTATGTAAACATTGTCATCATTGCCTGGAGAACTTAAACAGATTGCAAAACAACCAGTTAAACCAGCTTCGCGAGCACAAGTTACCAAGGGGTATTCCATTATGCTCAACTGTGTTACATCTCGGCAAAAGCACGAAGATTTTGATGAGAAAGCCCTACCTACAACACTGTAGCCTTCTAATATGTATTGAATACCACTCGCATATTTGAATAAACTTAAGTTTTGGTTATCACTGATTGCAATGTGTCGTTGTCTAACAGTGATAGCTTTTCCCGTGCACCATGAATCAGCAACACTGACCCAAATCTGAGCAAAGAGATATTGATGTTTTTGACATACCATTTCGATTGCCTTGTATATTCCACCAAGAGCACATTCCCGGTCATCCAAAACCTGCCTTGAGACTGTCTTTGTCAATATGAATTCAAGATGGAGATATCACTGAAGCTTAAACAAATAGAGCCAAAGGAATTAAATATGGTCCGAAGGGAGACATTACTGGAAAAGAGCTTGATCTACTGGACAACTTACTTTCAAATTAAGCGGACAATATGAATCCGGAGATTTCAAGTCCACCACCTAAAAAATGAAGTCAAAAGTGGAAAAGAATAAACAGCGGTTGAATAATACAGTGTACAGTTTTAATTTCCTCTTTTCTTGTCACCTCTTCTTTTTGTTCTTCTGAAACGATGAAAGGAAAACAGTGCACTAAAAGGGACCATGGATGCCAAACAAGATGAGCTAGAGGTTCAACATTTAAGGTTGGAAAAAGTTGAAGGTATGTGTAAAAACCTGGAGCATCTTAAAAATGGGCAAGACAGAGTTTCGAAAATATCCATTCGTTTGTTAGGTGACTGGTGACCAACTCAAGGACCCCAACAAAGGTGTCTCAAGATGGATCAAAGACAGGGACATCATAACACCATTGTATGCCCCAGGCTACAGCATCAGCCCGTAAAGGGAATTCTTGTTTGCAGTAATTCTTCACGTCTGTACATAGTTCAGGCAGCCTATGTTTGAACACATGTCCGGGGGGACCAAGGTCATTTTCACATTGGGTACCGTTCTTCAGCTCAACAGGAATTGCCCGGCTCAAGCACTTGTGCCTGTACGAACATAGTCCACCATCTAGTCTGGTAAGACCAAAAGGCTGATCTGAAGTTGTTAGGAAAGTCTGGCCATAAATTACAATACTAGCCCAGAACTGAATAAGATAATTGCAGGATAATTTCTCTACACGTTGGAGTGCAATCTTAACTCTTTCCTTGATTGTCATGCGTTTAGTAACAACATCTGCAGTTGTGGCATGCACAAATATTGTATTAGTACTTGTAGCCTAACCGGTAAAGTTACTGTCTTGTAACCAGGAGATCACGGGTTCGAGCCGTGGAAACAGCCTCTTGCATAAATGCAGGGTAAGGCTGCGTACAATAGACCCTTGTGGTCCGGCCCTTCCCCGGACCCCGCGCATAGCGGGAGCTTAGTGCACCAAACTGCCCTTCTTTACTTGTAGCCTAAAGCTACATTTAGGTAGTACAAAGAATATTACTCCCAGGTTTTGTAAAAGGCTTGTAGCAACAATTTTACTGATTGGCCAAAGCAATTAAGTTACCTATATCTAATTTAAGGAATTTCCTTGAATTCAAATCCGCGAAGCAGTACTACTAATGATAATCTCAGAGCAAGTCAAAAGAATAGGTTGAGGATTGAAAGTTCAGACCTTTATATCCAGGATAAATTTTCAAGTGAATGAGAAGTTCTTCTTCTAAGGTGTGGCAAGCACAAAATTCAATGGCAACCATGATGGTGAATATCTTGTACCTAAAGTATGTAACTGAATTGCAACAATGATTGTCAAAATGGAAACAAATTGCTAGAATTTCCCAAAGAAGAAACAAAAAGAACCTAATTTTGAAGCAATGAGAGTGAAACTTGCAATGCATTTTAGAAAATTCTTAGCTGATTCCCATCCCATCTATAAAGATCAACATTTTTTTTTATATTTGATAATTGTGGTGTCCGATTACACGGGTATCTGTTACCTCCCACCAGCATATGAGGTACTTGATAACAGTGTCCACCAAGGCTTGGACAAATACGAAGAAATCACCTAATATTTTTGCTTCTGATAGAACAACAAAACTTTAAACCACCAAAGCAAAAATTCTCTCCTCATTCATGGGCAAATAGGAAGTCCAACAATTCTTAAGGAAATGATTGTCAAAATAGGTACAAAAAAGAACAGGTAAGCTCCCGCTATGCGCATGGTCCGGGAAGGGCTGGACCACAAGGGTCTATTATATGCAATCTTAACCTGGATTTTTATAAGAGTCTGTTTACTCGGCTCGAACATGTGACCAGTGGCGGAGCCACCTTATAGGAAGGTCGCGGAAAAATATACTATGTAGGTGGGTAAAAAAAATAAATTTATGTATATATATATTAAGTATTGATTCCCCTTAATTTCCACTTATATATACTTAGCTGCAATTGGCAGTGTATCTCAGAAAATACTTAGCTGAATTTCATCCCATGTATAAAGATCAAAATAATTTCAAGCCCACCAAAAACCAAAAATTCTTCTTCCCTACAATTTATGAGAAATCAAATATAGTAAGTTCTTACGGGAGAAGTGATTCAGAAGCTGCTCTGCATCATCACGTTCACTCCAAAAAACCCATATACCATTGGGTTCACTGAACACACTCTCCATTCTTGAAACCAAATTACTTTCTTTTCTTTCTTTTTGAGGTTGTTGGTTGCAAGCCAAACCGGTCTCTCTTTCCACATGTCACATTGACTCTCTATATTTTGTGGCAAAGTTGAAAATTTTGAGATAAAGGAGGGTTGAAACAGTTGTTTTAGGCCAAATAGAACAAAAGGTTGTTTACATTAATGTAAGAAATGTTGAAAGAAAGAGTTTAGGTGAAAAGAACCAAAAGGTTTGTTTTACATAAATGGCCATTTGGGCCCACATTCCACTAACTCATTTTTGTTCTTTGTTTAATTTAATTTAATTTGTTAATAATTAGACAAAATTATCCGATAACAGTAAAAATATAAAAAATTCACATAATTTTTATACATAATATACATATATATACATTTTTATGTTTTTATTTTTTTTAAACATTATTTTGATAACATGTATATAGTCTCATTTTCCGTGCAAAGACATGGAATATCCTCTGCTCCTTCCTTCTTTCATTCTTTTGTTTTGCACAATTGCTCCATCNAAATGAGTCCGGATATTTCGCGCTATTCAGTTGCTGATTTTCCTCAGCATGGCTCGGCTTTAATTGCTGGTTTAGGGAACTATTTGGCTGTACCGGTTTTTGAGCCTCTTAGTAATGAACGCGCTGGAGTACTGGAGATCATAGGGGATAAGAAGGGAAGCTTCTCTCAAGATTTTGTTCAAATGGTGTATGAGATGCTCAATGTATGGCTTTCCTCTCTACTTTTATTGCCATTTCTCTCTCTCTCCCTTCTAGTTTGTTTCCGTTAGTTCTACTGTAGAGAAAGGAAAGGTTGTTCGAAACTTTGCTTGATTTTAGTGTGGTAGCTAAAGTATTAAAAAAAAACATGAATTTAGTGAAGAGTTTGGTCATGTTGTCACAATTACCACTTCAATTTTC